GATGGTCTAATAGACAAATTTGACGAAATGAGAATCTTTACAGTTCGTTCAGACGAAAGTCTTGAGAAAACTCTAAATGACTTTCAAACTCAAATGAACAAATATTATTGGGAATTTCAAGAAAAATACGACTCTTTACTAAATGGAACATACTATCTGAAACTAGAATATGACAAGATGAACTCCACCGTTTCATTTCAAAAGATTGAAATTAACCCTCCAAGAGATACAGAGTTTTTTATTTTGGGAAGTAGACAAACGTTCTTGGGCACAATTTCTTCGGTTACTAAACCAGAACGAACCATTACCACCAGATGGTCCATTTAAATTTATACTTCCACCAGCAAATTTGACAGTTTATAGAAACGTGTTTGACCCTCAAAATGTTATGTGTCATGCAAGTTTCAGTTCAAGCAACAATAGTTTTCTATGTATTGGTAAGGACTTTTATGACTTTGCTTCTAAATTCTACGAACCATCTAGTAACAGTTTCTCTGACTTTCAAGTTTGGTTCACAACAAATGGTGTGCAACATATTATTCCATTGTACTATGACTTTTATCTCGAATTGTCTTTCATATATAACTACGGAAAAGTGCTGAAAAAGTATTGAATGTGAAGATATTAGAAAATAACATTTTTTCTAACATCGTAGAAAACTCATGAAAACAATTTATTTTTAAAACAATATATTTTTTTTATTTTATTTGAAATGTACGCTGAGTTTGTTGGAGAAGACCGTTGGGAAACTTGTTTGTTAGATGAGAAATATGAAATTCACTGTTGTGAGTCATTTGAAGTCAGAAACAAAAACAAAAAGAGTTTTTAAGCGAATGGGAGCGAAATGACGGATATGCTGATATGAAGATGGGTGGAAAACACTATCTTAAACATGTTGTCATTGCAACTCATTTTATACTGAATCCTAACAATTTACCTTTTGTAGACCATATAAACCATATAAGAAACGACAATAGACTTGAAAACTTACGTTGGGTCACTTATTCTGAAAACAATAAGAACAAAGGTAAATTAAGAGATATTGTATTCGAATTTGTCGACGAACTAGAAGATGAAACAATTGAAATTACAGACTATGGCAAGCATACGTTGGAGTTTTACTACTATAGCGAAGAACAAGACTCTTTCTACTTTTATACCGGCGTAAACTATAGGAAATTACAAGTATATTTTACTAAGGCGGGCTATGCTTATGTAAACACTAGAGATACAGATGGAAAATACGTTCGAATACTTCTTAACAAATTCAAGAAGCTATATGGCATACCATTTTAAAACAATATATTTTTACATATATTAAATGCTTCAGGTTGAAAAACAAAGAACAAAAGTAGCAGATACAAAACCGTTAGACTATATCTTTACAAATGCTGGTAGGACAATATCAGATGAAGAAATTTCATCCCGAACATACAGGTTTGACTATCCAATTCGTTGGCTTCAAAGTCCTTCAGATGCAAAGGCAATAGGATTTAGAAGAGTTTTGTTTTCAAATAGAACTAACGCATTTATGTTCGTAGTATATTTTCATGGGCAGTATAAAGGTTCTGATGGTCTAATAGACAAATTTGACGAAATGAGAATCTTTACAGTTCGTTCAGACGAAAGTCTTGAGAAAACTCTAAATGACTTTCAAACTCAAATGAACAAATATTATTGGGAATTTCAAGAAAAATACGACTCTTTACTAAATGGAACATACTATCTGAAACTAGAATATGACAAGATGAACTCCACCGTTTCATTTCAAAAGATTGAAATTAACCCTCCAAGAGATACAGAGTTTTTATTTTGGGAAGTAGACAAACGTTCTTGGGCACAATTTCTTCGGTTACTAAACCAGAACGAACCATTACCACCAGATGGTCCATTTAAATTTATACTTCCACCAGCAAATTTGACAGTTTATAGAAACGTGTTTGACCCTCAAAATGTTATGTGTCATGCAAGTTTCAGTTCAAGCAACAATAGTTTTCTATGTATTGGTAAGGACTTTTATGACTTTGCTTCTAAATTCTACGAACCATCTAGTAACAGTTTCTCTGACTTTCAAGTTTGGTTCACAACAAATGGTGTGCAACATATTATTCCATTGTACTATGACTTTTATCTCGAATTGTCTTTCATATATAACTACGGAAAAGTGCTGAAAAGTATTGAATGTGAAGATATTAGAAAATAACATTTTTTCTAACATCGTAGAAAACTCATGAAAACAATTTATTTTTAAAACAATATATTTTTTTTATTTTATTTGAAATGTACGCTGAGTTTGTTGGAGAAGACCGTTGGGAAACTTGTTTGTTAGATGAGAAATATGAAATTCACTGTTGTGAGTCATTTGAAGTCAGAAACAAAAAGACAAAAAGAGTTTTAAGCGAATGGGAGCGAAATGACGGATATGCTGATATGAAGATGGGTGGAAAACACTATCTTAAACATGTTGTCATTGCAACTCATTTTATACTGAATCCTAACAATTTACCTTTTGTAGACCATATAAACCATATAAGAAACGACAATAGACTTGAAAACTTACGTTGGGTCACTTATTCTGAAAACAATAAGAACAAAGGTAAATTAAGAGATATTGTATTCGAATTTGTCGACGAACTAGAAGATGAAACAATTGAAATTACAGACTATGGCAAGCATACGTTGGAGTTTTACTACTATAGCGAAGAACAAGACTCTTTCTACTTTTATACCGGCGTAAACTATAGGAAATTACAAGTATATTTTACTAAGGCGGGCTATGCTTATGTAAACACTAGAGATACAGATGGAAAATACGTTCGAATACTTCTTAACAAATTCAAGAAGCTATATGGCATACCATTTTAAAACAATATATTTTTACATATATTAAATGCTTCAGGTTGAAAAACAAAGAACAAAAGTAGCAGATACAAAACCGTTAGACTATATCTTTACAAATGCTGGTAGGACAATATCAGATGAAGAAATTTCATCCCGAACATACAGGTTTGACTATCCAATTCGTTGGCTTCAAAGTCCTTCAGATGCAAAGGCAATAGGATTTAGAAGAGTTTTGTTTTCAAATAGAACTAACGCATTTATGTTCGTAGTATATTTTCATGGGCAGTATAAAGGTTCTGATGGTCTAATAGACAAATTTGACGAAATGAGAATCTTTACAGTTCGTTCAGACGAAAGTCTTGAGAAAACTCTAAATGACTTTCAAACTCAAATGAACAAATATTATTGGGAATTTCAAGAAAAATACGACTCTTTACTAAATGGAACATACTATCTGAAACTAGAATATGACAAGATGAACTCCACCGTTTCATTTCAAAAGATTGAAATTAACCCTCCAAGAGATACAGAGTTTTTATTTTGGGAAGTAGACAAACGTTCTTGGGCACAATTTCTTCGGTTACTAAACCAGAACGAACCATTACCACCAGATGGTCCATTTCAATTTATACTTCCACCAGCAGATTTGACAGTTTATAGAAACGTGTTTGACCCTCAAAATGTTATGTGTCATGCAAGTTTCAGTTCAAGCAACAATAGTTTTCTATGTATTGGTAAGGACTTTTATGACTTTGCTTCTAAATTCTACGAACCATCTAGTAACAGTTTCTCTGACTTTCAAGTTTGGTTCACAACAAATGGTGTGCAACATATTATTCCATTGTACTATGACTTTTATCTCGAATTGTCTTTCATATATAACTACGGAAAAGTGCTGAAAAAGTATTGAATGTGAAGATATTAGAAAATAACATTTTTTCTAACATCGTAGAAAACTCATGAAAACAATTTATTTTTAAAACAATATATTTTTTTTATTTTATTTGAAATGTACGCTGAGTTTGTTGGAGAAGACCGTTGGGAAACTTGTTTGTTAGATGAGAAATATGAAATTCACTGTTGTGAGTCATTTGAAGTCAGAAAACAAAAGACAAAAAGAGTTTTAAGCGAATGGGAGCGAAATGACGGATATGCTGATATGAAGATGGGTGGAAAACACTATCTTAAACATGTTGTCATTGCAACTCATTTTATACTGAATCCTAACAATTTACCTTTTGTAGACCATATAAACCATATAAGAAACGACAATAGACTTGAAAACTTACGTTGGGTCACTTATTCTGAAAACAATAAGAACAAAGGTAAATTAAGAGATATTGTATTCGAATTTGTCGACGAACTAGAAGATGAAACAATTGAAATTACAGACTATGGCAAGCATACGTTGGAGTTTTACTACTATAGCGAAGAACAAGACTCTTTCTACTTTATACCGGCGTAAACTATAGGAAATTACAAGTATATTTTACTAAGGCGGGCTATGCTTATGTAAACACTAGAGATACAGATGGAAAATACGTTCGAATACTTCTTAACAAATTCAAGAAGCTATATGGCATACCATTTTAAAACAATATATTTTTACATATATTAAATGCTTCAGGTTGAAAGAATACGGTGGAGCCAAAAGTGGCTCGACCTCAAAACAAACATTTTATGAGCTTACAAAGGGTGTTATGAATGAATTCAGCAACATACATCCTGACCTCGTTCATTTTGTTGCTAAATTCAGTAAAAATAATGTTTAGGTGAAGAGGTGACATCTCACCCGTTTTCTCACCTCTTTTCTCACCTCATGAATTTTCATGAATTTCATCGTAAATGTTTTGTCAAGACTTCTTCGTAAATGTTTTGTCGAAACTTCTTCATCGTAAATGTTTTGTCGAAACTTCTTCGTTTATGTTTTGTCGAAACTTCATCGTAAATGTTTTGTCGAAACTTCATCGTAAATGTTTTGTCGAAACTTCATCGTAATGAGCGTAAATGACCCAAAAATAATGTTTAGGTGAAGAGGTGACATCTCACCTGTTTTCTCACCTCTTTTCTCACCTCATGAATTTTCACAAAAGACCAAAAATAATGTTAGTTTTATTTTTTTTATTTTATTTATTTTTTTATTTTGTATAAAAGACATGATTTCAACAATCGGCACAACAACAGTTCAAACAACTACAGCACCAAACTCGTTAGTCATGAATCCAACATCTATGTTGGTAGAGATGAAAAACTTCATTCCTTCTTCATATACTTTCGAAACAAAAATCCAGAAGATAAAGCAGGAATTGTTAACAAGTAATTTAGACTGTAGTGCGAAAGATGAAACAAATGAACAGTATCTTTATGAAATGCAGGACATTATTGACCATTTGCCTAAATTGCCTGAAATTCAGCAGCAAAAACTCACTATTCCCGAATTTGACGAAATTGAAGTGAAACCAACTGACTCAGTAGAAATAAAGAAGTTCATACGAAAGGTAAATTATGAATTCCTTGGTTTTCATTGCAACCATAAGGTTATGGACAAAGATTGCGACATGTTATATAAGAACATCTCTGACCTTTACAAATCTGAAGAATTTAAGACCTACGACAACTTTGTTTCATTAGTTGCAAAATGTGTATGGGAAATAAGAGATAAAGATAGTAGGGGTAAGGTATGGAATGAACAGATAAGACCCGCTATGTTTGAGATGAAGAGAGCAATTGACGCCTTGGTTGTTTTAGCAGGTAAGGTTTCAGAATATAACGCAAAAATGAATCCGCAATGTTCTAAATGTAAAGCAGCAATGAGGAAATATAACTACTCCGTCAAAGAGATAGAACGTATGCGAAACGACTATGCAGACTTAAAGAAAGAAGCAGAAAAGCCAGCAGAAAATAAAATGGATATGTTAGCATTTCTGAACAAAAACTATCCAACTGCTGACGATTTCCTATTATCTGACGTCAAGAAGAAGTATAAAGAAACTTTCGGTATCGTTAAAACATTCGATGTACTGACAGAAGAAATAGAAGCTACAAAACTGTTTAGGATTTCAAATATACATCGTACAATTCATGTAAAACGCTTATAAAATAACAGGTGAGAAAAGAGGTGAGAAAACAGGTGACATCTCACCTCTTCACCTAAACATTATTTTTTGCTGAATTCAGCAACAAAATTCTGAGTAAAATAATTTTTAGGGCATGTGTCAAACCGTTGAGTTTTCACAAAATTTAAAAAATAACTTGGGTGAGAAAACAGGTGAGAAAACAGGTGAGATGTCACCTCTTCACCTAAAATATATTTTTGTCTGATTTACGCTCATTACGATGAAGTCTTGACAAAACATTTACGAAGAAGTCTTGACAAAGCATATACGAAGAAGTCTTGACAAAACATTTACGATGAAATCATGAAAATTCAAGAGGTTAGAAAACAGGTGAGAAAACGGGTGAGATGTCACCTTCTACCCTAAAATATATTTTTACTGAATTCAGCAACAAAAATCATGAATTTCCTTAAGATAGAAAAAATAAAGTTATTTTTATTTTTATTTATTTTTTTATTTTGTATGTAAAGACAGATATGTCAAACAATGAGTTTGAAACAGTTAGAAAGATAGACAATGACACCAAATTGGTTAGAATAGGTGATTTAAACGTAAGATACTCAAAGAAATACAACAAATATTCTTTGTCAGACATTTTCTCTCCATCTGGAAAGAGACCGAAGGACTGGGTTAGAATTGCTTCTACTCAGAAAATTTTGACAAGAAATCCTGAGCTTATGATATCAGTAGCATTTCATGGAACAAGAGCATATCTTATAGACAAAAGTCTTATACCAATAGTTTTGTTATGGTTAGACCCAGTTGTTGGATATAACTTCATAACATATGGTTCGTTCGACTCAGAACGTTGCAGTGAAGGCTTACTTTACATCGTTCAGAAACCGAAGGACTTCAATACAAAAAGATATAAGATAGGAAGAACATATAATATAACTCAAAGATATGACAGTACAGTCAATAGAGTCAAGGTTGTGTTTGTTAATGATATGAGAGCTGCAGAAACAGAACTACTTGAAAAGTTTGAGAAAATGTATGGTGCTCCCACGAAAGGTAAGGAAACGTTTGAAGTAGATGAGATAGATAAAGCTATAAAATTATTTGACGAAGTTACTGAAAAATACATGTAAAGCGTTTATTTTTGGTCTTTTGTGAAAGTCAGAAAAAATAAAGTTAGTTTTATTTTTATTTATTTTTTTATTTTGTATGTAAAGACAGATATGTCAACAACAGAGAACACAACAACAGTTATCGTTCATGAAGCTATAAATGAAGAATATGAGTGGGTTCAGTTTAACAAACAGTTACGTCTCATTCGTTCGGTCAAAGACGATATGTACCAAATGCAAAGTATTTTGACAGCATGTTTTGCTCCAGATACTAAGAAACCACAAGACTGGTTTGAATTAAATAGCACTCATGAACTCCTCAGTGAGTTTGAACATGTAGAACTTAAAAAGATGTACCAAGACAGACAAAACTTACCATCACATCTAAAAGGTATATATGTTCATAAGTTCCTAGTTAGTTCAATAGCAATGTGGGCTTCACCTCGTTATGCAATCTACATACTTATGCTACTTGACGAACTTTGTACAAAGCAGAGAGAAGATATGATGAAAGAAGACAAAAGCCTTCAGAAAAGAATACCACGTTCGGTACCAAAAGGAAAGGAAAAGAACTATAAGTATATGATTTATACTGAAGAGATGGAGAAAGAAGAAGACAGAGATATGGTTATGTTGCATTTAGTCAGAAGAAACAACAAAAGCTTTTACGACCTTGCTAAGATTTACAAATCTGACAGAAATTGGTTCTATCGCGAAAACTTACCGATTTCAATGACACCAAATGAAGATGTGAAACAAATAGTTCAAGATACGTTACCTCAAACACACTATGATATTAAAGGTTGTACAATTCTTACCTTCAAAGAAGATTTGCCATTGTTAAAGGAAAAAATAACAGAGTATTTTGACAACTTCAAACAAGTAGGGTAGATGAACCATTTATTTTTCAAGCTTGACTTCAGATGGCTCAAGTAGCTCAATTAGGTAAATTGCCTCGTCAAATCCTTCTGGCATTCCGAGTCCTTCCATCCGACAGGAAGAACTCTTCCTTCCGACAGGAAAAAATTTTCCTTCCGACAGGAAGAACTCTTCCATCCGACAGGAAAAAATTTTCCTTCCGACAGGAAAAAATTTTCCTTCCGACAGGAAAAAATTTTCCAGTTGTCCGTCCGTAAACCATTCAAATTTTCGAAAATTGAGAACTTTTTGGTCGAACTTCAGAAAAAAATTTTCCATCCGACAGGAAAAATTTTTCCATCCGACAGGAAAAAATTTTCCTTCCAACAGGAAGAACTCTTCCATCCAACTGGAAGAACTCTTCCTTCCGACAGGACACAAACGAATGTCCGACGTACCACCAACCGAGTCCATTCCAAAGTCAGAAGAACCGACAGCCCCAGCACCACAACAGACTAAGACTCAAACACTTATATTTTTCAAGCTTGACTTTTTACAATTTGAACTTTGTTTGCGTAGATATGAATTCTGAAAGAAGTATGAGGGTCTTGTATGACTTTATACTTCTCCCATAGTTCATGTCTGTCAAACTTACCTGCCATGGACTCTTTCATAAGTTCCATGAAATCGTCTTCGGACAATCCAGGGAAAAGTATTATGTCAGTCAGTATTCTCTTTACATCCTTACTTAAACTCTTGGCTGTCTGTACACAAATGACAACTGAGATGTTAAAGTGTCTGAGCTTCTTAAGAATTCGACACATGTCTTGTTCTCTATTCTTTAACAAAGGATGAGAAGCAAAGTCATCTAAGATAAGAAGACATCTATGAGGGTAAGTCTTCCAATCGTAAGATTGCAATTTCTTCGAAATGTATTCTATCTCTTTCTGTTTGTTTCTGAAGTGTTTCTTCTCTAATATTCTCTGCATTTCCTCATTTGGGTCTTTAAACTTAGAATTTATATACTCATTTATAGCATTGTACTTCAAAACTCTTCTTTGGTACTTCTTTATCCAATCTAACAACTCAGAGTCTTTTATACATACTAACTTAGACTTTTTTATAATATCTTTGAACGAATTGACGGTTTGGTCAAATTGACCAGAAGTACTACAAATAACAACTAACTCATAGAATGGGTTCTTCTCATCTAGTTCTTGTTGTTGTGCAGCCATTTTAAGATAAGTGAAAGTCTTACCCGACCCAGGTGGTGCGATTAGACCTGTTATACCATTCTGAGCAAATAAGAACTTGTCATGTATAGGCTTTATCTGAGCATTTTCCAACTTCCTCTTGTTCTTATTTAAAACATTCTCAAATTTCTTGTCAATGTCAGCAAACTTTTTTTCTAACATATTTTTAGAAAAATTAAAATTTTTATCTTTTTGAAAATGTCGAGCGATTTCGCTATCTATATTCGAGACAAACTTTTCGACAGCAAAACATCTGTCGACCATAAAATCTTACATAGTGTAAACAAGAAAGGTGAATTTGTTCTAAAGTTCTGTTTCTGGGAATATGACAAGAACCATAAAACATTAAGCAGAGCAGTCTTAAAATTTGTCAATGACAGACTTGTTGACAGAGATGACGCCGATTGGAAAGATGAAGTCCAACAAAAGTTCTTAGAATGCAAAGAAGACACATGCGCTGTTCTTGAAGATGAAATAGAAAACAGAATAGATGAGCTATTAAAGGACAAAGAACTTTTACATAAATATGGTTGCGCCAAATTTGACATAACTCCACCAGAGAAGAAGAAGAAGAGAGAAAAGAAAGAAAAGAAAGTAGAAGAAGAGAAGAAAGAACCTGAACCAGAGAAAAAGAAATTTGACATGTAAAAATAAAATTTTATTTTTAGAACATTTCTGGGTCAATGTCAATGTTCTCTTCCTCTTTAGGAGCAAACACTGGCTTAGACTCTAAAATCTTTTTACCCAACTTACCTTGAACTTCAACTATCTTAGACTCATAATATTCATAGTCGTCTGTCTTCTTTGGTTCATAAGGTATAACAAGTTTGTATGCTTTACCTTCTTCGAGTTTTGAGAACTTTCTGTCAAAATTTTCTTTGACTGTCAACATACCGTCAATGTATAAGTCTTCAAAAGTTGCACCACTTTTTCTAACAACAGCAAACTTAACTGGTGCAATGTTCCAAATTTTGTCAAATGTAGACTTTTCAAAATTGTAGAAGTAAACATTCAAATATGCGAATGGAGCTAACTTATCTTTGACTTCTGTCATGTACTTATTTACTGAGATGAATTTCGTCATCTTTTCTATCGGATAAAAAAATATTTTTTTTAAAATTTACTCAGAAAAATTTTTCTTTGTATATACACCATTCTGAACATCTAAAAGATTTTTGACATTTGCCAAGAATGTACGTTTAGAAGCTGCCATATAACCATATTCTTGACAATATTGTTTATACGAATCGTACAATGACCTTTCATCTAATGACACAAAGTCAGTTTCATCTATGAACAGTTCATATACACTCTTGTTTGCTTCTAACAATGTTTGTCTCTCTTCGGTATGTGGAATTTGTCTTGGATTGAAGTTAGAAATATCTAATGTCATGAAATATGAGAACAAGTGGTTGTAAAAGTCAGATGTCAAAGTTTCTGCTAAGTCGTCAAAATATTCTGTATCTTGCATATGAGAATCTGACGTTCTGACAACTACATATCTTCTGTCAGAACTTTCTAACTTCATCGGAACAGTATTGTTTGAAACCATAATGAAGTTTGCAACATTTTCACAAACTCTTTGGTCTTTATATTTTCTTTCAACAACTCCAACTTTGTCTGTTATAAGACTCTTCAAAGCATCTGAGTTCAAAATTTTTGTTGTATCTATACTTTGAAGTTCATTGCAAACTATAAGTTTCATATTCTCTATTGAGGAGTTAAATTTACCGCAGATGTTTTCTAAGTTTGTCATATTCGGGTTCGAATAGCCCTCTAACAGTTTGCACAAAATATCTGTAAAGAATGTGTTCTTACCTGTTCCTTGTTTTCCAATTATAATGAGAGCAGTTTCATTCTTAGCACTTGGATGTTGTAAGATGTTTGCAAACCAACATAAGATATACTCATAAACCTTTTCGTTTCCATTGCATATAATTTCTTTGACATGGTCTAACCAAGCTTCTATAATATTTTCTTTCCATTCTACTTGTTCATATTTATATCCAGTGAAGATAGAATAGAAGTTTGGAGAAGGTGTATAGAACTTTATACCTCGAACTGAAAAATCTTCTAACTTTGACAATAAGATATCCCAAGCATCTAACATCTTCATGCCAACTTGTACGACTTTTATTTTCTTAAGTTTCTGTCTACATTCTTGTTCTGAAACTATTGTTGCTCTTGGTTTGTTAAAGACAACATCCCATTCTTTCATGACATAACATTCTGGGGCAGAGTCAACATAAATGACTAAACGTTTCAAATTCTCGACTGCTTTGTTATAGTCTCTAAATGGACACATATTTCTGAATGCTTGGAAGTCATAAAAATCTGAAACATCTATTCTGTACATTTTTATAAAAATAAAAAAAATATTTTTTTTATTCTTGACTTTGTTGTTGCATTTGTTGCATTTGTTGTTCTTGAGCTATTTGTTGTTGAAGTTGTTCTTGTAATACAATACTTTCACCAGTTGCATCTTCCAATTCGAAACTTTCTGCCGTCATTGACAAATACATAGGACATAAAAGTTTTACAGGAACAAAGTTTGCGTCAACTAATGTCAACGTTATACTTGCCAAAGTGTTTGAGTTCACTAAGGTTGAAAATTCTGCATTCGAATGAAAATAGGCAAACCAGCAGAGAAAGTATTGTTTATACGCATAAGTATCTTTTGGTCATAATAGTTTCTGTCAACATTCGAATAACACTTTGAACCTAAGTTTGAAACAATATATAAGATTGGTGTGCTTAATGTCAATGGAATAGACATTCCTTGTATGACACCTTTTCCTGTTATAGGAAACTGTTGGTAGTAAAAACCAGATATAAGTTTTGTATTATAGCTCATATCGTTTATACTAAACTCAGTCGGACATCCAAACATAATGAAACCTGCTCTAGTTGCAGCACATGTTACATCCGTCCTTAAAGTATTAAATAAGTCAACAAAACCTGTTGGTGGTATATCTGAGTAAGTATCTTCAAAGGAGTATTTTTTACCATTCACAACAATAAAGTCTTCTGGTGTCAAAAGAGCAAAACAAGCTTTAGTCGTCATTGTGTTTAAGGTTAGTTTACAATATCGTCCTTGAGGACTTTGTAAGTTTGTTGTTATAGAATTATATGACTCAGGGTTTTTAGTCGTAATAGTATAAACCATTATGTCTTCTGCCATTTACTTAGCAAATAAATTTTAATGAAATGTTGTGGTCGTCAAATATTTTTATAACGTCTGGGAAACTATATTTTAAGTTCAACGTTTCACCTCCTTTCATAACGTATATCTTGTCAATGACATTATATGAAACACCACAGCAAGCAATGTCAGGTTCTATTTCTTTGATGTTTATATCGTCTGCCTCTGTCAAAAGTTTCAATAGTTCTTTCAAAACTTCATGAGGTGCGATGACATATGAGTTCACTTTTACAGGGTTGTGTTCGACCAAGTTTAACATTATACTTAAAGCTTGACAAATCTTCTCCTGAGTTTGAAGTTTGTCTTTCAGTTGTTGGTAGTCGTTTCGAATATCTGCAACAGAACTTAAGTCTCTGCTAACTTCAGGGTATGTTGGTTGTTCTTTTACAGGAACTATTGTTATACCATCTTCGTCTTCGTATGGTTTCCCCACTTCAACATCTCTTTCTTTGACATTGACAACAACACTTTGACTGTTTGTTTGAGTTGGTGAATTTAACTTCACATCTGCCACCGCCATTAAACCTTTTGAAACACTTACGCTTCTATTTTTCGGAAATGACATTTTACTGAGAATAAAAAGATGGACGTATTCGGATATCTCTTCGAATTGAAGCAAAACAAAGTTTACACACACAAACAATACAAATACATTGACAGAATAGTTCTTTATACAAACAATGGAAAATGTTATAGAATAGCAGTCTTTGCTGAACCAAAATATTTCCATAAAGCAAAGAAAGTTGGTATAACTGAAATGGTGAAAGTTCTTGACGTTGACAAAAATATAACAACAAAACTTACAGATATTTCTAAAGGTAAG